CCTCGATGTGACCCCCCGCACCCTGCCACAGGCTCCAGCCCCAGGGGGTCTCTGACTGCACGGGATGCCCCTCGGCAGCACCATTGTCCCCTGGTGCTGAGAGGATGAGGGATGGGCAGGGAACAGGGACTCACTGTCAATTGTGGGGGGCAGGGATACTCACAAAGCCCCCGTGGAGGTGGGGTGGGCCCCCACCTGAGAGCAAAGCAGGGGCACAGCACAGCAACCCCCCTCCACGCCCACCCCAGCGAATGCAGGAGAAAGGAAGGAGGTGTGCAGCCCCCCACGGCCTGGCAGTGGGCCCCACAGAGTACGGTTGCGGACTAAGACAAATGGCTGCCCAAAGAGCAGTGGCAGCCCGTCAATCCAGGCCACCTAGGCGGTCACCGAGGGTGCCAAGATAAACGTCCGTTGAGGGCTGTGGAGGTGGGGGTGCCGATCACGTGTATTGCCGAGGGCGCCAGTTCCCAGCAGCTCGTCTCAGGCCGCTGGAGCCCAAGAGGCAACCTATGGACAGCCCCGTTCTCTTTTCATACTTAGGAAGCGTGAACCCCCCGCCTAGGCCTCGCACGAGCAGTGTGAAACCCATGCCCAGGGCTCTCACAAGCAGTGTGAAACCCATGCTCAGGACTCTCACAAGCAGTGTGAAACCCATGCCTAGGGCTTGCACGAGCAGTGTGAAACCCATGCTCAGGGCTCTCACGAGCCGTGTGAAACCCATGCCTAGGGCTCACACAAGGAATGTGAAACCCATGTTCAGGGCTCACACGAGCAGTGTGAAACCCATACTCAGGGTTCTCACAAGCAGCGTGAAACCCATGCTCAGGGCTTGCACAAGCAGCATGAACGCCCCAGACCCTGCGTAAGTGGCAGAACATGACAGAGTTATTTTTCCTCCAGGCAGCTCCGGTGCAATGAGCTCAGCTCTGAGAACCAACCCCCCCGTGTGGGGCAGCAGACTGGAGATGCCCTTCCCAGGAAAGGCCACCAGGGTCCCCAGGGGTCCCCATGCCAGGTGGGCCCCCAGACCATGCAGCAGAGCTTCCCCAACCGGCCGTGGCTCCCCCCCCCCCCCGGCCCGCCCACCCCCCCCGCCGA